GTATAATTTATCCTAAAGTTTATACAAATTGATCTAAATGAAAATTGTGTGCATTGACAAAAAAACAACAAACTAATATAAAATAAATATGTTTATCTATTTACACATGGGGTTGCTGAAGTTTTCATACTTTGTGTGTTTACAAAACCAGATAATAATCAACTTGTTAAACATTCTTGCAAACACTGACTGTCATGGGACATAATTGTAAAAACTTACTGTCCTGAGAACAATAACCATTTTATAGAAGAAAAAAAATATGGCATCAGTGTTTTTGATTCTGACTAGGTAAAATCATATTTAAAAGCTCCATAACAACATAAATAGTCATATTTGAAAAGTAAATGGAAACTGGTTCTCATCCAACATTATAAGGCTATTGTACTATCAAATGATCTTTGTAAATTAAATTTTGTGCAATATAAAGACTAGACCATGCTAAAGCTCTTACTTACTTAAAGGTAATATTTATTATATTAACTTCTGTGAAAATATGCCTTATACTTTACTGATGTTTGAAATATCAGAAGAGGCTTTACCTGAAATGATATTTTAGAGAAAGATTTTATTGAACTGCTTAAATTCTAAATATATTGCTACTACTAACTTTAAATTATGAAAATGTAAAAGCAAGTTTTACAAGTACTTTCTCAATGTGTTGATTTGTTACGGTAAATGTTATCCTAAATGTGTTGAGTTCTTATGTTAAATTATATCCAATAGCTAAATAGAGATTTAATTAATTTTTATTTTTTCTGAAGATCCATTGGCGATGTTTATTCCTTCAGATTTTTTATGTTCCTCCTCTTTAGCAGGTCCAAAGAAAATTCTCCTTGTATTAAACATGATAAGTTGCTCATGAACTATTGCTCCAATGAACCACAAAGGGGCGTACTCTAAAGTCACAAGGCCCATGAAGTCGCCATGGAATGGGGTATAGTCCCACGGACAGGCACCAAACTGTTTTAGAATATATCCGGTGCTAAATTCCCAACAGTACGTCCAAAAGGTGTACACGAGTCCTCTTACGACAAGAGGCACTCCACGCCCAGTAAGATACACATAAATATGCTCACAAACAAGGCCGGACAGTCCATAGATAGGAAATGACCTAGTTGGAATAAGGAAAAAAAGAAAGTTAATATAATAAAATATAAACAAAATTAAGCTATCTAATTCATTTACTAGTATTTCAATATACTGTCCTTTTACCTATTTATAATTTAGTTTAGCTGGATTGTGTGCCCACTATTGGGGCAAACGAGGGGGGGGGTGTATGGTGTGGATGTGGATACTGGAGATTATGCAGAAAGTACATATATTTAATAATTATCCTGAAACTCTGACACACTCTCATATCTGTAATCAGGCCAACTGTCACCTTTTCCTACACCACCGCCCGTTAGACTATTTGTCCTCCTATAATATACAAATTGTCTCCCTGTGAGGGGGGGGGGG